CAAAAAGAGTCGCAAAGTCTGTCCAAATCGGTAACCGTTGACCTGAAAGAGCTGTTCACACCATTTGTTGTGACCCAAGCGGTGGAGACGACACTGAGTGCCACCAAAGATGTAAAAAGTGTGAAACGATTGCAATTCGAGTCAAACGCCGATAAGAATCGTTTCGAACCGAAAAGAGTTGAGTTAAACGCCGACGACTTGACCGTCACTTTGAATCCAATGGAAATCCGGACTTTCATTATCACTACTAAACCCCGATAAACGACTTCAAAAGACTAGTCGTTAAACTATTAGTATAACATTTACACTGTATTGTATTGTACCTAAAATTATGTGTAATATTTTGGAATTAAAAATTAATTTGCTATAATATACAAGAATAAATACTGTATAACCATTTTTTTAAAAGTGACAAAATATTGATTAAACAAAAATTTTTTAAATACTTTATGATTGCTTGCATAGAATATTTAATTTCCGTTTTGTTTTATAATTTGATTAATTGAAAAAGGATTTAACGAAATTTATAAATAATTTCCCAATTAATTATAATCTGTAACAAATGTTCATAGTTGCTAATTATTATTTAGTTTAATGTATTTAACAATATTTTAGTTTATTTATAACCTAGAATTTATGTTAAATAAAATCAACCTGTGTAAAGAATCGTTTTCAACCTGCAAATAAATAATAATAAATCCTTTCTATGAATTCATGTTCACATATTTGTTCATAAGAGTATTTGAATTGTAGTAAAATGTTATAAATATAATCCTTGTTAGAACAATATCGGTTACTAAATATACAAATTATCAAATATGATAACACTACCAAGTTAATTAGTAATTAATAATTACAAATATCGGTATGACATCATTTATAATACATTTACACAAAATACAAATGTGTGTAAATTGATTAGAATTTTCAAAAAACAATTATAACTTATAATTTATAACTTATAATTTATAAGTACAAATAGCTATAATTCAGTCATTTTTAGTAACTAATTTTAGCATAGTGATAGTGCGGTAAAAGCATAATACTTATGCAGTGGTAGGTGATAATGCTAATGGGATAATGGGAACAATTTTTATCTAGATAACTGTAATATTACTTTGGTTTGATTTGTTTTAAAAAACTATTCACTGTCCTGTGTTAGTGCAGTTAGTTTAAGTCCATTTAATTATAAAAATTATATTTGTTCAAATGAACATTAAATGAACTAGTTTTTATCACCGTATTGGTTGAGTGTTTTGTTATATAACAAATTAGTATAGTGACCAAGGTACCTGTTTCTAATATATAATTTATGTAATTATTTAATGAGTTAGTAACATTAGTTATAAAAGAATAATACATTGTTTTTATACAATTGCAATAACCATTTAACCATTATGAAATACTTTAAAAATGTAAGTCTATGGCATGAATCGCATCATCCCTTTCCAATTCCTCCTAAATCATGGGAAAGCGTTCAATGAATTGAGAAACACTCACACAAACTATCAGAAACTCAGACTTTGACTAAAATGGTATCAATAATAATAATTACATTTTAACATTTGATAAATTTTGTTTTAATAGTATATAAACAACTGACTACTAAATTATTCGCACAATACAAACCAGCAATTAATGGCATTCCCATTGGCAGTGGTTTTATTAGCGTTAATCGGGTCGGCAGTGTGTCGGCCGCAGTTGGCACCGACCACATGTGTGGACAACGGCCAGTGTAAGCAAATAGATCCGACACAACTCAACGTACATCTGGTTCCGCACACTCACGATGACGTCGGTTGGCTTAAGACTGTTGACCAGTACTTCTACGGCACTAGGAATGGTGACCAGAGGGCGGGCGTCCAGTATATAATAGACTCAGTAGTGGAGCAGTTGCTAAAGAACGAGACCCGAAAGTTCATCTATGTTGAGACGGCATTCTTCTGGAAGTGGTGGCAATTGCAGACACCTGAACATCAAGAGAGGGTCAAGAAGTTGGTTAACGATGGTATGAATTGCTGTTTTATTTAATGATTTAACTGTAGAGTAAATGCATTTTACTATATATTTTTATTGTTCTTTAATTTTTCATAATATAAGCAATTACTAATTGCCAATTAGTTAGAACTTCAAGATATTTGCAGTGATGTTATTTACAATTTCCAAAACCAACTGACATTGAAATTGAATATTTATTAAAAAATTAAGATAACATTTATAATCCTGTAGCCTTTAATATGAATTTATAAAATAATAATTCCATCAATTCATTACAATATTAACAATTGATAATCAGAAACACCTAAAAAAATTAATTTTAATAATTGAATAACAGATTTATTATTTGACAAATGTTTTGTTATTCGAGAAACAATAGATAAATATAACTAAATTGATAAGTGAAATGAAATACAAGTTATTGTAGGTCTTACTAATTATTTACAAAGTTTTAATTTATTGATAATATATACCAAAAACAGGTCAATTGGAGTTCATAAACGGCGGGTGGTGTATGAATGATGAGGCGGCCGCTCATTACCAGTCCATTGTAGACCAGATGACTTGGGGTCACCGACGCCTTCAGGACACGTTCGGTGAGTGCGGTATCCCTCGCATCGGGTGGCAGATCGACCCCTTCGGCCACAGCCGAGAACAGGCCTCACTCTTCGCTCAGATGGCGTTCGACGCCGTCTTCTTCTACCGAATCGATTACGAAGACCACAACATTAGAGTGAAGGAGAAGAGGATGGAGTTGTTATGGCAGGGAACCGATGACTTGGGAAAGGCTTCAGATATATTCACTCACATTATGGAAATGGGTTACGGTATGTGTTTTGACCATAAGTTTCATATCAATTATTAAATAATTTGCAAAAAATACTTAAAGTAACAACAATTATACCATTTCAGGTCCGCCCCCGGGTTTCAGTTGGGAAACAGCCCGAGACAACCCATCCGATGACGCAATCATCGACGATCCCGAGTCCGAAGACTATAATGTGGACAAAATTGTGGACAAGTTTATCACTTATGCCAAACAGTACTCCAACTATTACGCCACGAATAATGTATTGTTTCCAATGGGAACCGACTTCTGCTATGAAGACGCAAACGCGTGGTTCAAAAATATGGATAAACTTATCAAATATGTGAACGCGAAGAAAGTCAACGGATCTAATGTTAATGTTTTCTACTCGACTCCAACCTGTTATCTAAATGGTATACATCAGGCAAACCATACCTTTACCACAAAGTCGGACGACTTCTTCCCCTATGCATCGTATTATCACTCCTATTGGACGGGATATTTCACGAGTCGACCGGCGCTCAAACGCTATGAAAAGGTGGGCAATAATGCTCTTCAAGTGTGCAAACAATTGGATGTTTTGAGTCTCGGGAACGGCAAAAATGAGGACAAAATAACGCCATTAAGGGAATGGTTGGGAGTTATGCAACATCACGACGCTATCGCTGGTACTGAGAAACAACACGTTTCCGATAATTATGCTCTAAAACTGTATAAGACTATAGAGAAGTGTCAATCAGTAGTCGATGAGTCTCTGAATATATTGATTGGCGATAAAAATTTGAATCAATTGTTTTGTAATCAACTGAATGTCAGCGCCTGTGCTGTCACTGAAGGCACCGACAATATAGCGGTCACTCTATATAACGCATTCGGACATAATATCAATCGTGTGGTAAGACTTCCCGTCACATCCAAGGCTTACAAAGTGTTTGACCCGAAGGGAAATGCTGTCAAATCAGATATCGTTGCAATTCCTGAATCAGTTCTCAGTCTTAAGGAAAGAAAGAGTAAAGCAAAGGATGAGTTGGTATTTGAAGCTCAGGTGCCGGCACTCGGATTCTCTACTTATTTGTTGAAAGCAAACAGCGTTCAGAAGTCCATAAATGAAGCGAAAATCACGAAAATATCGGACGCTTTTACTATAAAATCCAAGTCTTTAAACATACGTTTCGACAAAACGGGAGCTTTGAATTCAATTGAGTTGAAGAACGGGAAAGTTGTTGATTTTAAACAAAACTTTGAGTTTTATAAAGCAAAGGACAATAACGATGATTTTCATCAGCCATCGGGTGCTTATGTCTTCAGATCAGATGGCGATTCGCCTCAACTCTACAATACAACTACACTTCAGGCAGATTTGGTCGAGACATCGGATGTGAAAGAAGTTCGTCAAAAAGTCAGTGAATATGTCTCACAAGTGATAAGGATTTTGCCAAACAATGATATGATTGAGTTTGACTTTGTTGTCGGACCCATTCCTGTGGACGACAAGATCGGGAAAGAGATTATTTCCCGATGGGAGACAAACCTCACCACAAATGGACTCTTCTATACCGACGCTAACGGACGACAACTTCTGGAGCGAAAGCGAGACTTTAGGCCCACTTGGAAACTAACGGTCTATGAGGAAATCGCTGGAAACTATTATCCCGTCAACAGTCGGATTGCTATTAGAGACGAAAAACAAGACATTCAAATGACTGTTTTGAACGATAGGTCACAGGGAGGCAGTAGTATTAAAGACGGATCCGTTGAGCTTATGGTTCACCGAAGAGATCTCTATGACGACCACTTTGGTGTTGCCGAAGCACTTAATGAGCCGGGAGTTGATGGTAAGGGTCTACAGATTAGAGGAAAGTTTTGGGTACTCTTCACAAGTATAGCAGAAGCGGCGGAAGCGCACAGAGAGATGGCGTATGATATTCTTCTGGAGCCTTCACTTACTTTTGCTAAAATCAGCGGATCTGTTGAAGAATATGTGAAGAGTCATAAAACTCAATACTCGGGTCTAACGAAAGAATTGCCAAAAAATGTTCACTTATTAACGTTAGAGCAATGGAAGGGTTCGTCATATTTGATACGTTTAGAGCACTTCTATCAACAAAAAGAGTCGCAAAGTCTGTTTTCGAGTCAAACGCCGATAAGAATCGTTTCGAACCGAAAAGAGTTGAGTTAAACGCCGACGACTTGACCGTCACTTTGAATCCAATGGAAATCCGGACTTTCATTATCACTACTAAACCCCGATAAATGACATCAAAAGACTATACAGTCGACTGAATACAAATTCATTACATAACACAAGTATTAATTTACTTAAAATTAAATAACATTTTATTGTCCTATTTAATGAATATTCGTATATTATTGTATAAAATGCTAGAATAAAATAAGCAATTCTTATCATTTAAAGAATTAATAAAAACACAAATGTAAAATATGTTTTACATACAAATAAATAAATTTTTTATAAATAAAATATATTTGTTTAATATATTTAATATAATAATTAAATGCACAATAGATTTTAATTTTTATATATTTTCTTTATTTAATTATCAAGCTTAGATTAAAATAAACTAGAAACAATCTCGAAACAATATTCTCATAATCGCTAATGATTCTATTATTTATTTAATTAATACTGTGTATATTTATAACAATTTATGTAAATAAAATTAACATTGGGAATATAAATATTGTAACTTATGAATAAACAATAGTAAATCCTATATAAATATTTGTTCACATGAGTATTTAAATTGAAGTAAAATGTTATAAATGTAAGTCTTTATAAATTTAGACATTTACTAAATATACAAATTATTAAATATAACAAAATGAATGTTTAAAGTGGAGTAATCATAAGTATTGATGAGATTTAATTCGTTTAAATCTCATAAAACATTTTAAAAGTACAAATACCTATAAATTGATAGCAGAATTTTCACAAAACAATTGATTTTTTAACTATAAATAACTATTGGATAGCAATAGTGCGGGCACTGGAATTTGTGCATGGGTAGTTGATAAAATAAAAGTACATGTACAGTATATTGAACAATGTATTACATATCAATTCGGTTTGATTAGTTTGAAAACATAATTCACTTACTTTTGTTAATACAATTGATTAAGTCTTTGTTTTAACCGTTAAATTTTTCAAACTAACATCAAATGAATGGAAAGTTTTATCACTGTATTAATTAAGCCTTTGGTTAAACAACAAATTAGAATTGTGACCAAGGTATTATATATATTAGACCGAGTAGAATCTCTAATATGTAATTTATACAACTTGTTTTTTGCAAAATTTGTTAACAACATTATTTACAAATTAATCGCATTTATAAGTTTTGATATGCAATTAAAAGTGTGAGTCTATGGTGTGAATCGCGCCATCCCTTCCCATCCCCTCCTCACTCGTCGAAAAGCCTTCAATCAATTGAGAAACACTCACACAAACTGTCAGAAACTCATATAGACTTTGATATTGATGTCAACTAACGATTGAATTTTTATCATTAGATTAGGAAAAAGTTTAGGAAAAATTTTTG